CTGAGTCATCTCTCCAGTCCCAAATAAATGTGTAAATCCAGATTTGGGGCGGAGGGGAGCGCAACTGTTCAAATTTTTTAATTGCTTGAGTTGCTGACTTCGAGTTTCATTTAAAAAAAAATCAATGATGCCGGGCATGGTGGCACACGCCTTTAATCCTAGCACTCGGGCAGCAGAGGCAGGCGGATCTCTGTGAGTTCAAGGCCAGCCTGGTCTCCATAGCAAATCCAGGCCAGCTAGGGCTACAGAGAGACCTTGTAAAAAAAAAAAAAAAAAAAAAAAAAAAAAAAAAAAATTGATGAATTTTGACTTGGGATTAGGACAGACTTTTCAATAATTTCTGAAATGGCCCTAGACATACATAATTCACAGCATTAATGATTATAAAATCAAAATATTGATTATAATGGTTAATTGTGATTATCAACAGGATTTAGGGTCACCTCGGAAAAAAAATCTGTTCTAATTTGCCTTCAATTGCTGTGATAAAAGCACTGACCAAAAAAAAAAAAAAAAAATTTGGGGAAAGAGTTTATTTGGCTCACAGCACAGTTCACCATCAAGGGAAGCCAAGGCAGGAACTCAGGGCAGGAACCCAGGGCACAGACCATGGAGGTATGCTGCTTACTAGCTTGCTCTCCTGGCCAGTGCTCAACCTGCTTTCCTACACAATATAGCACAACCTGCCCAGGGGAGGCATTGCCCCCTGTGGGCTGGGCCCTCCCACATCACTCAACAATCAAGAAAATACCCATCACACTTCCTTGTACAGCAGAGGGTGATGCACACAGAAGGCTACAACTGGCCAGGTTTTGGAGAATAAGAGACTGTCGAGTGTAGGATGGGACTCCTATAAGGAACCTCACCCACCCACACTTCAGGGACCATCACAGAAGAGGAAGCAGAAAGACTGTAAGAGCCCAGGCTGGTTCACGAACACAGAGGGGTGGAGGCTTCCAGGCCACTGGAGGCTTGCGTCTGTGAACCTGTGGCAGTGGTGGCGGCAATTGTGGGACCCATGTCAGCTCAATTAAACAAGGGCCTAAATGGGAGGTTAAAAACAGGTGTAGGGCCAGCCCTAGACTGAGAACTATTTGAGACTCATTGCTGCTGTGTGAGGTAGAGTATGACTTACATATGACCGTTGGAAGGGCTGAATAGACTCCAGTGAACGCATTTACACTGAAGGACATTTGGGTACAAACATCTGAATGAATAGGATTTAGCATGTATGGCAGAGTGCATGGGGTTCAGTGGAGGGATGGGGGAGGCATGGTTGAGGGAGGGGGTCTGGATATGATTGGGAAATGTATGAAATTTAAAAAGCTCACTAATAATAAATTTAAAAAATGCCTCACAGACAAGGCCACAGGCTGGTCCAATGGAGGCAATTCCCCAATTGAGGCTCCTTCAACCCAGGTGTGTCAAGTTGACAACAAAACCTCTATATGCATCTACAAAGGCATTTGTGGGTAGCATCAACTGAGATGGAAAGACCTACTTGAGGCTCCTTCAACCCAGGTGTGTCAAGTTGACAACAAAACCTCTATATGTATCTACAAAGGCATTTGTGGGTAGCATCAACTGAGATGGAAAGACCTACCCTGGCTGTGGGCATGTCATTCCATAAGCTTGGTTTCCAAGTTGAATAAAAAGGGGGAGGAAGTCTCCTGACTGCAGATTCAAGTGACCAGCTGCCCCAGGCTCCTGTTACCATACTTTCCCCGCCATGGTGGACTATCTCCTCAAACTGAGAGTCAAAGTGAGCCCTTCCTTCCTTAAGTTGCTTTTCTCAGTTATTTTTGTCACAGCAACAAGAAAAGTAAAACACTGATCAATGCTGAAAATCACCGAAGATGTTCTACATCCTGCTAAAATAAATATTCATCCAGGATTTCATTCTGTATGTAAAAATAAACAAGCAGGGCATGGTGGTACATGCCTTCAATGGCTACATTCAGGAGGCAGAAGTAGGCAGATCTTTGTGAGTCCAAAGCCAGTCTAGTGTACACAGTGAGTTCCAGGTGAGCTGGGGAGATATATATATCATAAAACTAAACAAGTACATTCATCTCATTAGTATACAAATTAGCTTTCATCTCAACGGTTACCATTAGTAAAAGGCAAAATTATATGCATATCAAAGGTTGTTTTAAAAGGGGCAGGAGAGCCAGGCATGGTGGCACATGCCTTTAATCCCAGCACTCGGGAGGCAGAGGCAGGCGGATCTCTGAGTTCAAGGCCAGGCTGGTCTACAAAGCAAGTTCCAGGACAGCTGGGGCTACAGGGAGACCCTGTCTCAAAAAAAAAAAGACCAAAAAAAAAGGGGTAGGGGGCAGGAGATATGGCTCAGCAGTTAAGAGCACTGGCTGTTTTTGCAGAAGACCCAGGTTTGAATCCCAGCACCCACATGGCAGCTAACAACCATCCATAACTCTACTTCCAGGAGATCTGACCTCCCCACGCTCTTCTGACCTCCCTGGGCTACCTATTTTTATATACCTATATACATGACCCAGAATCATGTAAAAGTTTCTCGTGCAAAAAAGAGTCACAAGTAGAGACAGTTTAAGAACACTTGCTCTATAGTTCTGCTAGGTTTGATAACAAGATTCGTGCTGGGTTCCTCTTAACCCTCTCACCTCTGCCCCCTCCAATTACCATGGATCTCATACCCAGAAAACCAAGAGAGATCTTCACAATCGAAAGAATTTGAGCACTGACTGGAGTTTGAATGCAAGCCTTATTGCTTTCTCATTGTCTAAACTCCTAAGTGGCTTAAGCTTCAGCTCCCTCTTCTGTATCATGGGGTAATAATATTGTCTGTCTCAAAAGGCTGCAGTGGGAATCAAATGAGATAATGGACATGCGATACACCCAGTCTCTATCTTCCCTTTCTTCCCAACAAAAGCCGTGCTGACAGGAATGATGTTTGTGTGGATGGATGACTCAACTGTGCTGGAAAAAATGGCAAGTGCTTCCCCTACACACCTTCCCCACTTGAGCTCCTAACCCTCCCTCACCTCAGAGGAAGCGTCTAAGCTAAAAGAATTTAAAGAGAGGCAGTGGCATACCCCTGGATTAAGAAGCAAGTAGCTTTCAAAAGCTAGCGTGGGGCTGGAGATGGCTCAGTGGCTAAGAGCACTGGCTGGTCTTGCAGAGAACCTGGGTTCAGTTCCCAGCATTTGCAGGGTGGCTCACACCATCTGTAACTCCAGTTCCAGGGGATCTGATGCCCACTCAGGGCCTCCTCTGGCATTTTATAACATGATACATGTACATACATGCAGGCAAAAACACTCATATAAGTAAAATAATAATAGATAAAGTCGGGCGTGGTGGCGCATGCCTTTAATCCCAGCACTCAGGAAGCAGAGGCAGGTGGATCTCTGTGAGTTCCAGGACAGCTGGGGCTACAGGGAGACCCTATCTCAAAAAGACCAAAAATAACCCGGGTGTGGTGGTGCACGCCTTTAATCCCAGCACTCGGGAGGCAGAGGCAGGTGG